TATCTTGCTGTTCTTGTTATTATCATACATACTTTTTAAGGTTATGCACAGTACTTTAGAGTACCAAGTGCAAGTATTGTTGTGCCAGATTTAGTACCACAGCCATAGTCAGCTCTTGGTAAATATTTTAGAATGCTGGTGGTAATAGGAAATTTAAAGCAGTGGGGTTAATCTGCCTGACTGCTTTCAGGCCAGTGAGAGGCAAGGTTTAAGAATTAATGTAAACGTTGTATCTCTGATTCCTACTCTTGTGTTTCTGATTCTTGTCCCTGAAGCTTCAGATGCTGTTTGTTCTTGTCAGAAGTAGTACACTGGTTAACGAGGTTAGCTGTGCTGTTTACAGTGTTTTCTCAAACAAGATTCCTATTCTCTACAACCTTATAATTTTAAAAAAAGAAACTCTTCTTTTAGCAAATTTGAAATAACGAGAGAAGTGATTTTGGAGCACTTCAGTGCCTAATTCAGAATATTATTTTGTTACTAGAAATGTATCTGTAAGATGCAACCACAGGTAGATTTTACTTTCTTGTGTTTTTTTTCTTTCTATTTCCTCATTTTTCTATAGTGAACAAAGATTACCTATGTACTAAAATACTCAATTTAGGACTAAAATATTACTTGCTTTCTTATATGTACACAAGCACAGCAGAGGGAAGCATCTTGACTTTGAAACTGAGGTGGCTGGCAGAGTAGGTCCTTCTTAGGGATGACTGTAGTTATTTCACAGTATCTTCTTTCAAATCATGAAGTTTATGGAGTTAGTTTCTCTTAATTCTCCAACTTTTTGGTTTAAATCTGCTATCTTAAAAGGTGAATATGAAACATTTTTAATTTGTGATGTTTATTGACAGTGTTTCCACTGCTGAGTGTTTTTACAACCTGCATTTTCTTATTTATCTTGGGAAGAATCCCAAACATCACTTTAGTAGCACAGCAGGGTGAATGTCATAGCATTGTGTTTAGCAAAAATGCCAGAAAATACTATATCACTGGAGTGTTCAGTGACACAGTTGATGGTGGTATTGACCCTGGCATGTGAGACCTGGGTTTTGCCTTAACTTCTACACCCCACATTAATAAATATAGATACTGAGTTCTTTTAAGATTGTATCATTATAAAAAGCAAACGTGGTTTAAAGTAATTGTTTAGTAATAAGATTTTAAATTACACTGTTCAACTTGTAGGAATGCCCTTTATCCTTTTTATGTATAAATTGGAACAATGTGGGGAACTGATTTGTTTTCTAATTGTGTCAAAGGCCAAGGAGTAAACTCTTACAATAATGGAAAAAGGAACATGGAAAAGACACCAACACATTACAATAAAACTTTAAAACAGATTTTTACCCGTATAAATCCTTTATCGTTATTATACAGATAATATAAAGAGGAGAGAAATAAATCATTATAGCAAATAATATAGCAAAAAATAAAGTGAGCTGCTTATAGGATATCTATTGATTTTAGTAACTGTAAATTCCCAAAGTAAGTTTGAATCACTTTATATAGCATAAGCAGGGTCACATTTAGGTGTACATTTTTGTGATTATATTCTCAGATGGTGTGTAAGCCTTATTGATTTATCACTGGATATTGCTGTGTTTTTATGTTCAGTGTTCTTTATATAGTAACAGTAGAAAAGAGAATAATTATAAAGGTATTTGCAAGGTTTTTTAAAAGATGGTTTTCATTTGAAAACTACATTGTTAATCTTGACATGAATATTTGCCTGTCTACAGCTGAAGAACTGAAGGACTGAATCTAGATTGGGATTAGAGATGAAGTAATAGCCCTGCACTCAAGGAATTCCTGGTTGAGTGGTACTGGTGGGTATGTAGACCATGAGGGCATCAGGGCTCGCTGAGGTGGGGGTGGGGCAGCTCAGACTGGCGTGGAGCTGCAAAGAGAGTCAACAGGAAAGGCTTCCTGGAGTAGGTGATGCCTGTGCTGGTCCTCAGGTTATGAACTGGTGTCAGCCTCGTGGAGGAAGGCTGAGAAAGCTTTGGTGAAGAATGGGGCCAGCACGCCCTCTGGTATGCCTGGAGCAGAGGGTGCATGAGCTGGAATGGCTGGAGGAAAGAAGGTGAAAAAAAGGTATTCGTGTGTTAAAAATGGGATTTTGAATCTTTTCCTTTGAACAGGTCTTGCTGTAGTTTTTTAAATTTTATTTTTACCTTTTTTATAGTAAGTTTTTGAAACTTGCCAACTTTGTCAACCAAACAGGGAGCTGCTCTTGGAAAGCCTGATTGTTGTCAGAGGTGGCTCCCCAGATCGCACTCTTCAGATGTGTATGGTCCATTATAGCACAGAGTAAAAAATAGGCAGACATAGTTGAACAGGTTCTATTTATTTTTAAATGTCTAGAAGGTTGGTCTTTGCATTTAGTCTAGTCATAGCCTTCTCTAAAAGACTGAGGCCAAATTGAATTATCTGGGAACCTGCCACTTAAACAATACACAGAATAATAAATGGGCCATTTGCTTCCAAAAATTGGTGACAGTGCACTTCAGTTCCTAATTGAGGTTCATGAAAATTATCTTTTGACAAACAAGATTGTAAAAAAAGAAATCCTTCTTGATGGGTTCATCTTTTGGTAAACATTTAAATGTTGTTTACACAAATGGTGCTGGAGTGCGTTAAGGTGGGAAGCTAATGAACAAATGAATGACTGCAGGTGGCAAATATTTTTATGTTCAGAGGAAGGGGAAATGACTGAGGTAACACATATCATACAATGTTGATTTGTCCCACCCAGTAGTTTTGGATTCTTGATCTGGGGACTAGTGGTAGTCATTTTACATTCTTGGTAATTGGGATGGTGCTGGGTCCAGAGTTGGGGAAGGCTTTGAGGACAGGCCTTGATGTAGTCCTTGATAGAAGGATGGTTCTAGGGTGAGAGGAGGAGTACACTAGCTCAGCAGAGGTAGGAATGAAAGTGGATATTTACCACTGTTTGTCAGACTGGTTCACACTCAGTGGGTTGTGAAATCATTTTAGTGCATGTGACCAGCATTTTTCTAAAAGGAAAAAGTTAGAAAATTTCAGAGTGAGACCTATATAATAAAGGTAGGTTTGCTTTTTATTAACTTTAACCTTTTTTTTTCAGTTACGCATCTGTATATGCAGATGTACATGTCTGTGTACTGGGTCATAATAAAAATGTATTATTGTAGGTCATGGTCTAACAACCATGAGCTCATATGCTTTAGGAGACGTCCATGTGTTCAGAGCACTGTGCAGGTATCTGTAGTAGCGGAGGAAGTGAAGGCAACACTGACGAAGATCTTGATCCTCAGGTGTTTCCTGTCTCTAGACCAGTTTGGGGTTGGGGGTTGATGTGAACAGCATCTGGGAGGAACGCTCATTCCTTGACATTTCATCTCCACAGACCTGGTGACTTCTGTGCTTCTCACCAAGAGGAACATTGCACTTAAAGCATCTGACTCTGCTCTTCATTCCCCTTCTTGGTCCTCCTTGTGGACGAAGGACAAATGGCATATCAAGTAGATGAAATCTCAAAGAGGCTGATGCCCAAGGGCCTTTTTGACCAGGGGTTGGGGCCATTGAAGAAGGCAGACCTAGAAACTGGCTGCTGGGGTCTCTTGTGACAGAAATGATTAGGAGATAATTTACAGTTCAGAGGCTCTTTGCAGCTGTCTCCTCCTGATCTAATAGGATTTCCTGTCTGCATTTCTTTGGGGATGTCAGCAGCTGCAGTGGGAGGCCCCATTTGGAACTCAGGCCCAAGATCTATCTCTAACACAGAGTACTAAGAGTCCTATACTTTGGGGGAACATAAAGTTTATGCTAAGTCATCATTAGCTCTTCTCTCTGCCCTTAACTTGTTAGGAACCAAAAGAGAGGGTGATGCTCCCTAACTGCACAACAGGTACTAATGGAGATATGATTGAAAAGTGCCAGATTCTGAGGGCCTTGCTTGTGATTTCTGCCCCCATCAAATTTCATCTTCGTGTGTGAGCAGCAGAAAGCCTTTTTGCACACCCTGGGAGGTATGGGTGTGACTGCTGACGTGATAAGGAATTTCTTTAATAAGGCATGATGGGTTCTGCAGTATGGGAGAGCTGAGAGGCTGGGCATGGCTGCAGGGTTTCAAAAAGTGAAATGAAGACCAGTAGTGACGTATAATTAAAATTTTTTCTATTCTGTGATTGGTCTTGGAGGATGTTTACTTACTATTGACATAAATTCAGACCTTGTAGAAACTGAATTTTCTAGTTACCTAACCGTCAGAATCCACTCCAGGTTGATTTTGTCCTAATTCTGTCTCACCAACCAGAAGGTGGTGCTGTTGTGCTGGCAACCAACCTGCCTTGCCGCTACAAATAAAACTTGGCATCTGAATGCTTATTCATGCTGAACCATGTAGACAGATTCAGCATGCGGTGTCCACAGTATAACCCTCATGCAGTGTGGCACCAGATGGACAACATGGAACATTTGTGGCATCAAACCTTCAGAGTCTGGGGCTAGAGAAAGCTGTCATGGGGCCTTGGTTAGGTGCTTGCTCTGGACCACCTTTGCACTTGGCTAAGTAACACTCTTGTAGGAGTCAGGATGAAACGTTTGTATTGGTTCATAAACTGGCCTCCATACTCACAGAGGGCAAGGAGAGACTGAAGAAAGAGGCAGGCCACTCCAGATTGGTAAGTGGCAAAGTTAATAACCAAGGGAACTTACTTCTGGCTTGCCTTGGGCAGCCGCAAGACGAGTAGATCTCCACACCCTGTCGCCGGAATCTTAAAAGTTTGCATAAAGGCCCTAATGGGGTTCAGTCCTGTATACCAGATGGTTTCAGCAGCACCTTACTCTCTCAGGGCTGTGTCCTTGGAATGGCTCCCACTGTGGGAAGAGGAGGCAGAGCGTACTTTCCAAGGACAGAGGAGGGGGTGAGGCGCCTCCGATTGCCAGGGTCCAGCTCGTGGTGTCAGCCGTCTCGTGGGTCTCCGTCCTCTCTAAAGACACCAACACATTACAATAAAACTTTAAAACAGATTTTTACCCGTATAAATCCTTTATCGTTATTATACAGATAATATAAAGAGGAGAGAAATAAATCATTATAGCAAATAATATAGCAAAAAATAAAGTGAGCTGCTTATAGGATATCTATTGATTTTAGTAACTGTAAATTCCCAAAGTAAGTTTGAATCACTTTATATAGCATAAGCAGGGTCACATTTAGGTGTACATTTTTGTGATTATATTCTCAGATGGTGTGTAAGCCTTATTGATTTATCACTGGATATTGCTGTGTTTTTATGTTCAGTGTTCTTTATATAGTAACAGTAGAAAAGAGAATAATTATAAAGGTATTTGCAAGGTTTTTTAAAAGATGGTTTTCATTTGAAAACTACATTGTTAATCTTGACATGAATATTTGCCTGTCTACAGCTGAAGAACTGAAGGACTGAATCTAGATTGGGATTAGAGATGAAGTAATAGCCCTGCACTCAAGGAATTCCTGGTTGAGTGGTACTGGTGGGTATGTAGACCATGAGGGCATCAGGGCTCGCTGAGGTGGGGGTGGGGCAGCTCAGACTGGCGTGGAGCTGCAAAGAGAGTCAACAGGAAAGGCTTCCTGGAGTAGGTGATGCCTGTGCTGGTCCTCAGGTTATGAACTGGTGTCAGCCTCGTGGAGGAAGGCTGAGAAAGCTTTGGTGAAGAATGGGGCCAGCACGCCCTCTGGTATGCCTGGAGCAGAGGGTGCATGAGCTGGAATGGCTGGAGGAAAGAAGGTGAAAAAAAGGTATTCGTGTGTTAAAAATGGGATTTTGAATCTTTTCCTTTGAACAGGTCTTGCTGTAGTTTTTTAAATTTTATTTTTACCTTTTTTATAGTAAGTTTTTGAAACTTGCCAACTTTGTCAACCAAACAGGGAGCTGCTCTTGGAAAGCCTGATTGTTGTCAGAGGTGGCTCCCCAGATCGCACTCTTCAGATGTGTATGGTCCATTATAGCACAGAGTAAAAAATAGGCAGACATAGTTGAACAGGTTCTATTTATTTTTAAATGTCTAGAAGGTTGGTCTTTGCATTTAGTCTAGTCATAGCCTTCTCTAAAAGACTGAGGCCAAATTGAATTATCTGGGAACCTGCCACTTAAACAATACACAGAATAATAAATGGGCCATTTGCTTCCAAAAATTGGTGACAGTGCACTTCAGTTCCTAATTGAGGTTCATGAAAATTATCTTTTGACAAACAAGATTGTAAAAAAAGAAATCCTTCTTGATGGGTTCATCTTTTGGTAAACATTTAAATGTTGTTTACACAAATGGTGCTGGAGTGCGTTAAGGTGGGAAGCTAATGAACAAATGAATGACTGCAGGTGGCAAATATTTTTATGTTCAGAGGAAGGGGAAATGACTGAGGTAACACATATCATACAATGTTGATTTGTCCCACCCAGTAGTTTTGGATTCTTGATCTGGGGACTAGTGGTAGTCATTTTACATTCTTGGTAATTGGGATGGTGCTGGGTCCAGAGTTGGGGAAGGCTTTGAGGACAGGCCTTGATGTAGTCCTTGATAGAAGGATGGTTCTAGGGTGAGAGGAGGAGTACACTAGCTCAGCAGAGGTAGGAATGAAAGTGGATATTTACCACTGTTTGTCAGACTGGTTCACACTCAGTGGGTTGTGAAATCATTTTAGTGCATGTGACCAGCATTTTTCTAAAAGGAAAAAGTTAGAAAATTTCAGAGTGAGACCTATATAATAAAGGTAGGTTTGCTTTTTATTAACTTTAACCTTTTTTTTTCAGTTACGCATCTGTATATGCAGATGTACATGTCTGTGTACTGGGTCATAATAAAAATGTATTATTGTAGGTCATGGTCTAACAACCATGAGCTCATATGCTTTAGGAGACGTCCATGTGTTCAGAGCACTGTGCAGGTATCTGTAGTAGCGGAGGAAGTGAAGGCAACACTGACGAAGATCTTGATCCTCAGGTGTTTCCTGTCTCTAGACCAGTTTGGGGTTGGGGGTTGATGTGAACAGCATCTGGGAGGAACGCTCATTCCTTGACATTTCATCTCCACAGACCTGGTGACTTCTGTGCTTCTCACCAAGAGGAACATTGCACTTAAAGCATCTGACTCTGCTCTTCATTCCCCTTCTTGGTCCTCCTTGTGGACGAAGGACAAATGGCATATCAAGTAGATGAAATCTCAAAGAGGCTGATGCCCAAGGGCCTTTTTGACCAGGGGTTGGGGCCATTGAAGAAGGCAGACCTAGAAACTGGCTGCTGGGGTCTCTTGTGACAGAAATGATTAGGAGATAATTTACAGTTCAGAGGCTCTTTGCAGCTGTCTCCTCCTGATCTAATAGGATTTCCTGTCTGCATTTCTTTGGGGATGTCAGCAGCTGCAGTGGGAGGCCCCATTTGGAACTCAGGCCCAAGATCTATCTCTAACACAGAGTACTAAGAGTCCTATACTTTGGGGGAACATAAAGTTTATGCTAAGTCATCATTAGCTCTTCTCTCTGCCCTTAACTTGTTAGGAACCAAAAGAGAGGGTGATGCTCCCTAACTGCACAACAGGTACTAATGGAGATATGATTGAAAAGTGCCAGATTCTGAGGGCCTTGCTTGTGATTTCTGCCCCCATCAAATTTCATCTTCGTGTGTGAGCAGCAGAAAGCCTTTTTGCACACCCTGGGAGGTATGGGTGTGACTGCTGACGTGATAAGGAATTTCTTTAATAAGGCATGATGGGTTCTGCAGTATGGGAGAGCTGAGAGGCTGGGCATGGCTGCAGGGTTTCAAAAAGTGAAATGAAGACCAGTAGTGACGTATAATTAAAATTTTTTCTATTCTGTGATTGGTCTTGGAGGATGTTTACTTACTATTGACATAAATTCAGACCTTGTAGAAACTGAATTTTCTAGTTACCTAACCGTCAGAATCCACTCCAGGTTGATTTTGTCCTAATTCTGTCTCACCAACCAGAAGGTGGTGCTGTTGTGCTGGCAACCAACCTGCCTTGCCGCTACAAATAAAACTTGGCATCTGAATGCTTATTCATGCTGAACCATGTAGACAGATTCAGCATGCGGTGTCCACAGTATAACCCTCATGCAGTGTGGCACCAGATGGACAACATGGAACATTTGTGGCATCAAACCTTCAGAGTCTGGGGCTAGAGAAAGCTGTCATGGGGCCTTGGTTAGGTGCTTGCTCTGGACCACCTTTGCACTTGGCTAAGTAACACTCTTGTAGGAGTCAGGATGAAACGTTTGTATTGGTTCATAAACTGGCCTCCATACTCACAGAGGGCAAGGAGAGACTGAAGAAAGAGGCAGGCCACTCCAGATTGGTAAGTGGCAAAGTTAATAACCAAGGGAACTTACTTCTGGCTTGCCTTGGGCAGCCGCAAGACGAGTAGATCTCCACACCCTGTCGCCGGAATCTTAAAAGTTTGTATAAAGGCCCTAATGGGGTTCAGTCCTGTATACCAGATGGTTTCAGCAGCACCTTACTCTCTCAGGGCTGTGTCCTTGGAATGGCTCCCACTGTGGGAAGAGGAGGCAGAGCGTACTTTCCAAGGACAGAGGAGGGGGTGAGGCGCCTCCGATTGCCAGGGTCCAGCTCGTGGTGTCAGCCGTCTCGTGGGTCTCCGTCCTCTCTTCCAGCATGCTGTTGGAACCATGTGCAGTCTTCCAAGATTTTGTCTGAGGATTTATGAATAGAGATGAGAGATGTTTCCACAGAGAGAAAACATTTTTTCCTCTTCTTTTTTTGGAAAAGACTGACTACCCTCATGAATTAAGTTTATAGAAAATACTTGCTTAATTCAGTCCTTAACTGATGACTCAACTAGTTGAAATACCCAAGCAATCTCTCAGTTTTTTTAACCACTTAAAAAAAGCCCGGATGGTGTGATGGACTTGGAGTAGACTTGGTTTTGTGGTCTTGGGTCCTTGACTTAATCTTGCTGAATCCTCAGCTGTAAAATGAAGAAGAGAAAGTCCACTTCTCAGGTGGGAAGAACTGATAAAGGTAATAAAGGTAAGATTCTCAACACAATGCCTAGCACTAGTTTCTCAGTCAATGTTCACTTCTTCCCCCACCTCACCTCCATTCAGAAATCCAGACATTAACTACTATCACCAAAGGGATTGGACAGAAAGTATGTACTGTGGCTGTGTGGAGGCTGTGAGTATAAAGCTCTCAGTGTTTGTTTGCTCAGCTTTCAGAATGACGTGTCCCTCAGGAAGGGCTGTGCTCATTCCTGTAAGTGACCTCCAGTTAGTCTTCTCTGGCCTGTCCTTTTTGAACAAAAGACCCTGAACTGGTGCCACAATGATTTTTCGTTGTCCTTTTCTTTCCTGCGACTTCGTACAGCTACCTTGCCTTCCCAGTTAATCTCTTAGCCATGCAGCCAATGGTCTCCCTCAGAGCCTTCACCGGGGGTCCCACTTCTCTAGTTCCTGGAGCAGCCTTCTGTTATAGAGGTTAGCTTTTGAGTAGGTTCATAAGTAATAGGAGGAGTCTACAGACAAAGAAGTTTGTTAGATTGCTGTAAGTTGGGTCCCTGGATTTACTCACAGACTCAGTTTGGGAAGCTGGTTTGGGAATGTCTTAAGAGTACAATCTGTCCTCATTATGCACAGAGTCTGTGCTTGTGAATTCAGCTACTTATTAAAATTTTTTTGTAACCTCAAAGTCTGTACTCACCGAGCTTTTATGGTCATTCAGTGACATGCACAGAATGTTGCAAATTTGAGTTGCCTGATGCACACGTTCCCCAGTTGAGGTGGAACAAGGCGATGTTCTGCCTTCACGTTGCAGCTCTCAGACTGTAAACAAGTGTCCCTTTCACAGTCTGCTCAGTGCCACATTTCCTACATTTTTGTGCTTTCTATTGGTGATTTTGCTGTTAGAAGTGGCCTCCCAGCATAGTGCTGAGGTGCTGGCTAGCATTCCTACACACAAGAAGAGTGTCGTGTACATTATGGAGAAACTATGTGAGAAGCTCCATTCAGGCACAAGTTGTAGTGCTGTTGTTTGTGAGTTAAAGATTATTGAATCAACCGTGTATATTAAGTAAGGTGTCTACACAGAAGAGCACTCAAGAAAGGATATGTTCTGATTGATTTAAAAAAATGTTGTTAAAGAAAATGACCAAAGCTCACAGGACCCTAACCCTGCTCTTCCCCTTGGGGTGGTACCTGGGGAGACTTACAGGCCATGACTACCATGAATGGTAAGACTCAGACTCGAGTATTTGTTCCTTTCTGCCTCCCTTTCTCCTCCAGGGTACTCAGCTCAGAGCCCTGAGAAAAAAAGGATTTCTGGGCTGCCCCCTTTTTATTTGTTTTTCAAGGAGAGGTGCTTCTTGCCAAGCTTCGCGGGCTGTTCAGCTGTTGCCTGACAGGAACACTGCTGCAGAAGTGGGCCGAGTGCAGGCGACACAGCCTCTCCTGGCCCACAGGCAGCGTCCCTAACTGCACGGTGTCCAGAGAAGTCTCCAGATGCTAGGTTATTGGGCAAATGGAGACACAGGATCTTCTGGTGAGATGAGTACAGTGAGCCATAGCCTCAGTTTATTGTGACTTTGCTCATTTTTTCTTATTATAGTTGAATAACCAAAGTATCGAGGTTAAACTTAGTTGTATATTAAACATATGTTCTGCGCCTAACCTACCACCATTGAATTTAACTTTACTTGAAGGTGATGTCTTTATTTCTTCTGTTCCTCCATATCTTATTTCTGCACACGAAGCCTTACTGTGGTTCCCACCTTAACTTTTCTGTTGTGTGATGAGGTTTGAGAAAATCAGGTATGTGGGGTTTACCCTGTTAACCTCTTCCTTTAAGCTGCATTTTAACTTGCACTTTGGCCTCTTTAGAAAGGAAGGGGCCTGGGTTGGGACAAGAGTAGAAGGCAGTGGAAAATTCACTTGATTCTTTTGGCAGGTACTAGGAAAAGTAACATGTAGCAAATGAGGTTGAAATCAAAGTGGGAATGCTCAGTGTCCCATTATGTCGTCTTTCTTGTCACCTCTACATACAACACATAGTAAATCTTTTCCTAGTGGGTCCTACAATTAAGGAAAGTGTTGCTTTGAGGTCTGGGGCTAATCACTGAGCAGTTCTGACCTGTCATTTGGCACACAAAACCTCTTTACACATGGGTGACAATGAAGAGAGGCTACAGTAATATGGTGGACATGACAAGCGGGACCATTTCTGTGCCCCAACAAATGGCACAGCTGGCATGCCGCTGCCGTCCCTCTTCCACCTGGAAGCTTTCCTACAGACACGGCTACACTGACTTTCTTTTGAATGAAGTGCTTCTGCACCCTGCCTCAGTCTGAGAATGATTTGGAGCCCTGCTTTGCTGTCTCAGCTGCCTTTTGTGCCCTGTATTGACAGGACTGTGTCAGTATTAAGTACTGAAACTGACAGGTCTTGGATAACTTAAACCAGGCTTCCTGCATTTTCCAGACACATCCTTATCTTTCAGTTGGAAGGGAGTCATCTGTTTCATTTCTTGGCTGAGAACGGCTTTTATCCATTGGTGTGTTTACTTCCTCATCTGTAGAGGGTAACATTTAATAAGAGTGGCATAGGAACTTAATGTAGATGTTTTTCTCAAAGATCGTCCAACTGAAATACCATTGCAGGATTATCTGTAAGTATTCTGGATAACTTCAGACAGGCAGAAACAAGGAAATACATTTAAGACCCCCTGTGTGTTTTTAAAAAATTACTATTGTAATAATTAAGATTATTTAAAATAATAATAATTATTTGTTCTGGAAAATATCTATCATAGATTATTTTAAAATCTGTCATTGTTCAAATTTTCCTTTTACTCATGAAATTAGATCTTCCTTTCTCCCCATACATGTATTGTGTTGGGCTGTATTTAAAGGAGAGACTCATTTTGATGTACACATGAAGTAAGAGTTTCATTCTTCATATATATATTTAAAAATGCTACCATTATATCTGGTAATAAAAAATTTTAATGGCTCTGAACAAGGAAAGACACATAAAAACCATGGGCAGGATCTGAATGGCACCAATGGCTGTATTTTGTTGATGTTAACTCCTTGGAAACATTTTTACAAGCAGTTGATACTCAGTTTTAATATTGCTTCAGAGACATTTTAACAGAGTAATGTTTGGGAAATTATGTACAAAGTAGAGATAAAATGATTTCAGTAAAGTATTTTAAGTAAATAATAAAGATTTTCCTCTTAAATTTTCATTAGGTGTCAAATTTGAATAAAGGGAACCTTTTCCCTCCTTGTCCTTTCCCACTTACAAGCATTTTGAAAAGTGATTATGTTAGAGCTTGATCTTTGTCTTCTTATCTTGATAAATCGAATACTCTTAGTGCTGCAATTTAGTAGCAGCAGTGAACAGCTGCCTCTAGGAGTAAAAATCTTTTTTCATAATTCATGTTTGGACAGGACAGTGAACCTGGTAATGAATCTTGATGATCAGAACTGCCAGTGAGGGACCAAGGGTATGATAATATACTGGTTTGCCTTCAGGCCTCTGCTCTTCTCTGAGAGCTTCCTGATAAGGAAAAACAAAACAAAACAGAGAATTCGTAACTAGGTAGTTGCCTAGGAAAATAACAGCTCAGTGTCTTAAGTGTTTTAGGCTAAGAAAAAAGACAATTTAAATAAAACTCACAGGTTAGAGTCAACCACTTAGGTTGTTTCTGGCTTCCCCAAGTGACTTAGTCCTTTATACCCCTAATCCTTACATCAGGAGATCCATAGGGCAAAGCAGATTCTTCTTTCCTCATGCTGTTAGCTGCTCTGTCTTTGCTGCTCAGTGCCATAATCATTCCATGTT